ACGTAGCATTTGTTGGATTTTCTTGGAATTTGTTGGAATTTCTCAAAAATTACAACAGCAAAACAACAGAGGGGAAACAAACAGGCAAATAAAATCACTCTCAACAAAAGATTTCCCCCAGGCACTGCCAAGCCATTGAATGCTAATCAAGGTGATCAGCTGAAACATTCACATTTAGCCCCAGCAGACAAAAGTCCTTTGTCTCTCCCTGGTCATTCCACAGATATATAAACCCATGTTTCCTACTTCCAACAGACCTCACTACCTGAGGATGCTTGCCATAGATGCAGGCGGATCATCAGGAGAAAAATTGCCTCGAGAACATGGCCATATAGCCCGGAAAAACCTACAACAACCCACTGTGGAAAAGTGGATTGAAAGTCAATTCACCCAGACATTAAAATTTATTTGCATTCTCATTTGCCCTATATTGTGGCAGATTCAGTGAAAGACCAATAAAAATAGGCTTCTGTCACTATACTTGGTCTGAATCAGGACCGTCTCCATTTGTATTCTCAAAAGAAAGGACAAAGTTAGTACCAATTGACACTTACTGTCTTCCGTTGCGACAATGGTTATGTTGTGCCACATGCTGGTTTCTCTGTCCAATGGGGTTGCCAATGTGATTCTTCCATCTTGCGTGTTAATGTTGAACTGTCTCTCAAGATCGGTGTTCCGGTCAATCGAAAACCTACAAAAATGGACATCCTTGAAATTCACTGAAATACATTTGCATGACTTGAATACATTGCGGTAACACAATCAGAGTAATCCATCAGAGACAGCAGCTTTATAGCCCCAGTGGATTTGAAGAGCTCAACCATGTCATAATTTAGAAGATAAAAATAAGGATCCAAGAATCAAGAAACAGTATTATAGTCCAAGGAGTAATTAGCTGCATGCTCTCAGCATGAAGGTTGGAAGCTGTCATCAAATCAGGTAGTGTCTTTTCAAAACTACTGTGAATCAAGTGTTAATGAGACGATCTATCATATTTATTGGACAGTTCATATTGTATTTCATAGCAAATGTTGATAATGCTGCCAATACATTAAGCTGTTTGGGAGGGTGTATGTGTGTGCATGAATTTGTGCTTTAAATGAAGATGCAACTTATACTCTTATCGCCCAGTTCTGATTAATTACATAAATATGTCACTTGGGGAGTTTCATCTATGCCCGTGATGGTGGACCTATGACACGTGTGTCAGCACTGACACGCATGGCTCTTTTTGATGACACACGACCACACGCGGCCGCATACAGAGAAGTACACCTTATAAGAGCCAATCTAATTCCTGCTGCGTCCGTACCTTGGGAAGTCTGACTTGGCCACGGTAGTCCACGCTCTGGTTACATCCCGTTTAGACTACTGCAACGCTCTCTACGTGGGGTTGACTTTGAAGACAGCTCGGAAGCTCCAACTAGTCCAACGCTCGGCAGCCATGATTTTAACAGGAGCGGAGCGCAGGGAGCATACAACCCCCCTGTTGCACCAACTCCAATTCAGCTACCGGGCTGAATTCAAAGTGCTGGCGTTGGCCTTTAAAGCCCTAAACGGTTCCGGCCCAAGCTACCTATCCGACCGCATCTCTGCCTATGAACCCACCAGGACTTTGAGATCTTCCAGGGAGACCCTGCTCTCGATCCCGCCTGCTTCTCAAGCTCGGCTGGCGGGGACGAGAGATAGGGCCTTCTCGGTGGTGGCTCCTCGGCTGTGGAACGCCCTTCCTACGGACATTAGACTAGCACCATCTCTAATGGTATTCCGCAAAAAAGTGAAGACCTGGCTGTTTGAGCAGGCGTTCCAATAATTAGTGCAATGATTGGTTAATGAACACTGGAATGGAACAATGGATGACGAATCTGGAACATGTTTTTGATGACGAGGCAACACTGAATGGGTATTGTAGTAACTGTTTATTAATTGTGTAATGTGTTAGGTTGTTTACTGTTTCTATACTCTAGCACTGAATTTTTGCTGTTCGTATTTGTTGTGAACCGCTGTGAGTCGCCTTCGGGCTGAGAACAGCGGTATATAAGTGAGGTAAATAAATAAATAAATAATTCCATCCTTAAATTTGTAAAAGGCTCTACAAATTTAACATCTGCACATTTGAGCATTGTTCACTCCAT